TCGTAACCCGAAAAGTTCGTAAGCAGAGGCATTCGTAACCCGAGGTACCACTGTATATTGTTCCAGAGATATTCTGCATGGCGTTCTCAAGCTCAGCCTTGACACTGAAACAAGTTTAAGGTCTGCATTTAAGGTGGTTTTCCCCATCCAACTTGAATGGTCATACAGGTCCTCATTTAGCGACTGCCTCGTTTAGTGACTGCTCATAGTTACGCCAATGATGAAAAGTCACTTTGTGACTAATCCTCGCATTGATGACCTTTGCAAGTCTGTTAAGCAAAGGAAAGCTGAAGTCAGATTATAAAATCATGATGTTTCACTTAGTGACTGCTTTATTTAACGACTGAGTTGCTGGTCGCAATTGTGCTCGCTAAACGAGGACAACCTGTATAAAGCTAGTAGACATGTGATGAGAGGGAGGGGAAACTCTGGAATTTGTTCCAAGTCCTTTTCTAGCAGTGGCCATAGGAGAGAGCTGTATTTTCTTTGGTGTACCAACAGCAACATTTTGTATCTGTCTGTGTGTGTGTATGTGTGTGTGTGAATGAACACATGTGTACTGGAAAGCATGGAGTGGGCTGCAACCATTCCACTCTGGGTCACATGACTGGGAGGGAGGTGGCTTAGAATGGAGAAGATACCAACTTCTAAGCCATTGCTCCCAACTCCCTAACCCCATCTTTCTCTGACCAGCTTCTCCCAGGACATCAAATCTGGTCCTCTTTTGTTCTGGGTTTGGAGAGCCATCAGCTAGGGTTTCTCAGCCTTGGCAACCTTAAGATGTGTGCTAGACAGAGTCCTGAGCCTTTTCCCACAATGTTTTCCAACCTTCCGTCCGGTCAAAAAGGAAAAAGGAAAGAAAAACTGCTCTGAACGTACCCTGAAGTGAGGCTCCACTGGCAGCTAGAACCATCTGCTCTGCAATTGTTTTGGTTCTGGAGTAGTTGTCCCATTGCTAGAAGAGAGAACACCGGTTTTTAGTATCTAGTGGCCATGTGTTTTATTGCAATGAATGGTCAGTGACCTTCCCACTGGGTTGTTTAGATGTCACTCTCTGAATTCCCCAAACTATGTTTTTGATTGGCAAATAGCTTGCAAACTATTGCTGCTGTTCTTCCCACATATTCCAGTTACTTTCTGCTTAGCAAAACCTGAGTTTCGGGTTTTATCTCATCAATCAAACAAGAGCTTTCATTAATGTTCTCTACAGGGGGGTCCGTGGGAGAGGGGGTGGGGAGAATGTCAAAAGAGCCAGGATAGAGGTTCCTTTTTTACTTGAGGTGCAACAGCACAGTCGTGCTGCCATCTTGACTTTTTTGACCCCTCCCCACCAATGCTCCTCCTTCTAAACCAAGACGGCAAACTGAATGATCAGTTGTGGTGTGGAAAAAAGGCCAGGCTGAAATCTAATGCTCCACAGGCCAGTTTTTCATTGTCTTATTTTTGCAAATTATATATTTCCATTTACATTAATGTTTTGCAACGTGGTCAATTTAAAATGTGTGGACTTTAACCTGGCCATTGCAAAAATTCTAGTCCACACATCTCAAAGTTGTCCCGGTTGCAAAAGATTGATTTATATGTTTAATTTGTTCCTGTTCCCATATTTATCTGAGGGTTTTGGAGAGTGTTTTGCATGGGGCTGGGGGTGCACATTTCCCCAAACCTTTCCATGTTTGTTTATAGCGTGGCCAAATATGCAGAGTTTGACAAGGAAATTTGTTTAGAGAACTGCATTGCAAAAATAGAAATTTTATTGAAATTAAATAAGAAAACGAATGACTAATTTGTGAAATTGGAGAACCGCACTGCAAAATTCACAGAAGGGTGAACTTTGAAGGGTAACGGAATTCTGATTCGAGTATTAATAAGAGCCTCACCAGATAAGCTTGAAAAAAACAAAGCAGGATCAGAGGATCTCATTAGTACTGTTATTGCAAATTCCAGAGGTGTAAAACTAGAGCAAGAAAGAAGACCATTTCTGGAAAAAAGCAAGGGCAAACCATTTCTTTACTGTTCAATTCAAGAGAGCTCAGTTTCTAAATGTGAAATTAGATAAATTGATGTTAACATGCAAACTCTCCCCCATCCAATATATTTCTCATCCAAATACCTTCTCGGGCGGAAAATATGGCAATGTTTCATCTCCATCTTCAATGGGAATCCCTCCGAATATAACGTTCACTGTACTGGCATAGATCAGTTTGGAAATGTTTCCTGATTTGCAAACTGCAGAGAAACAACACATAAGCTATGACACAAAGGCTGTCAGGGGTGTTTGGGACATCCTAGGAGGCTGAGTGCTATGGCTTTTCATGATCTTAAAAACAATGTTTTGGTAGAGGGTGTTTCTCGACAGCACATGTCTCGGCGCTTTCAAGGATTCTCTGGGTTCCCTTTGACTAGATAAAAGTAGATGAACAAAAATGGGTCGTATAAGGAGGAGTCAGGAGAGGACGAAAAATACACCAGCACATTTGCTAATTCATGGGAAACTAACCCGCTTAGACATTCTGGTTATTGTGGTATGTAAGGCTGTATATGCAGAATTCTAACTACATATATATCAGAATAAATAATTTAGACCAGTGTTTTTCAAACTTAGCAACTTTCAGATGTGTGGACTTCAACACCCAGGATTCCCTAGCATGCTGGCTAGGGAATTCTGGGAGTTAAAGTCCATACATCTTAAACCTGCTGAGGCTAAGAAACTCTGGTCTAAACATATCCCATTGTGTTGTTGTTGTTCACAATAACACTGAAGAATGGCATATGATGGGTTCCTGGAGGAAAGGCAAGATATAAATCTAACAAATTAAGAAATTAAGCCAACTATGGAACAGCCAGCCACAGATATCATTCACTATTTTTTCCTGCAGAATGTAGTATTATAGTAGGCTACTGAGTTTTTCAGAAATGGGAAAGCTTTCATGCATTAGTACAAATGAGAAAAACGGAGGCCTACCATCAATGATCACTTTTGTTCCTCCCACATTGACGGACTCAATCTCTTCTTTCTTTAAAAGCAAGAAGCAACGAGATGGAAAGAATCAGAAGAAGAATTATTTATTCAGTCACATCCAAACTTTGTGTCACCCTTCTCCTCTCCAAAAACCCTGGCCTCTTTTTCAGTTTAAAGAAGGATCTGTAAATTTTACAGAATAACTATTGTCCACATAACAGGGTTGTACCTACCCTGCAAATGATTTCAAGGAAGTCCTTTGGACTTCGCACCACCATAGGCTCTCTCCACTACTCATTAAAACAGCTGCCTCATTTTTGCATAGATGCAGCAGCTTCCAGAGTCACGCTGGTAAAGCAGTGGTTTTTTTTTTTTAGATTCACATGGAAGCCTAAAAAAAAAGGCAAGCTCCTTTAATGAGTAGCAACTTATTTGTTTATTTAAATTAATTTGATTTAGGTGCCACCTGACTCCAACTGATTCTGGGTGGTTCAGGATATATTATCATAAAAAAATCCAATACAAACCAGAACAAGACAGGATCTGGACACTATGTACAGCCCTAAACCAAAACAACAATACTTTGTTATTGTAAACTGCCCAGAGTCACTTCTTGTGAAATGGGCAGTGTCCAAATTTGGAATATAAATAAATAAATAAATAAAATAAACAAAGACACAGCCAACAAGGTTACTTATACTTACTTATAAGCAGCAACTGACTCCGTATTGGCCACTTACTTGCTGTGCTCCATCCATGCCAATGCTTGCCAAATGAAATACAGTGTCAATTCCCTCACTAGCTTTGAGCACTTTCTCATAATCCTGCACATCACCCTGGGAAGTATGTGTGGGGAAAAAAGAATTGCAGATGAAAGCAAGACTCACAGAGGAACATTGACTGCATCAGCATTTGCTGGATAAGTCTTGCAGTGTTGCAAGATCTTTTCAACCAACTTGGACACTCAGTCTGGTAAATACCCAACTCCAGATTACAATAATAGATTAAGAATAAATCTATGGTTACGGTGATTCAAGCCAGCCTTCGCTCTGGTGACTCCATGGACAGGTCTCTGTAGCTTCCCTGGCAACATTTTTGGAAGTGTTTGCCAGCATGTTCTTTCTGAGATCTCTTCTGACTTCACAGTCTAGGCCTGAGAGACAGGGACTGGCCCAGAGTCACCCAGCTGGCTTACGTGCCTAAGACAGGACTAGGACTCTGGCCTCCCTATTCCTACACCTTTAACTTTTACACCAAACTGGTACAAGAATAAATCAACATCAATCTTTTTTTTTTAAGTTACTAATTCCAACCTCCACACTTAAGGTGACAAGTTCATTTCTGGAGTCATTCTGTATGCCTGATAAGCTGGACCCAGGTCTCTGGTTTTCCACTAATCCTGAAAATGAGGAATGAAAGTCCCCCCACGGCCATAAAACTCCCTGGGGGACTGTGGACCAGGGGAGTGGGGATACCCAGTTCTAATCCACCCTCAGCCACCTTTAGCCATGGAAGTTCTCTGCAGGACTTTGGGTTGCTTGGTCTCTCTCTCAGCTCAACCTGCCTCACAGGTTTATTGTTGTGGGGAAACCCTGGAGGAGAAAGTCCTACATATATTGGCTGAGCTCCTGGAGGACAAGTGGGAGATCAGGGTAACAAACAAACAAATAGGTGCCCATCCTACCTGGAGGAAGACTGCTCCTTCAGGTATTTCCCATGTAGGTTTAAGTATATCAAGCAAAACAACACGGATCCCTTCCCTGATGAGAGCGCAGGTCAGATAGAATCCACAATAACCTGATCCACCGGTGATCAACACCTTCAGACCTAATGAACCCATCTGCCTGGGGAACCTGGAATCAGATGGCTTGCCCCTCTTGATCACACTTCCGCTGGATCTCTTTTGGACAACATTCTCATGCTGGCAAAACATTGTTGGAAAACCTGTGTCTGGTTTAAAAGGGGGCCTGCAGTAAAATCAGCACACTGGATTACAAGCCTTCACGAAAGAGTTGCTGGTGGGCCTTCCAAGATTTTCCTGCATCAAATCAAAGAAACAATAACCAGTGGTTATCATAAACTCATGATTTACTACAAATCACCATGAGAGCCCCGTTCAGCTAAGTTCATTTTAACCTGCTCACAAAAATCCAGGAGGATGGGAACAACATATACGTCTACCTCAAAAGAGTTCCATCCTTTTCCAGATGTTCAGGATTTTTTAAAAAGGGAAAATGAAATCTTGTTCATGACTGCATTGGTAAAATTTTGCAGCTGATTGGAAAGCAAAAGAAAGAGATCATCCCAGGAGAAGGCGTTATTTAGGCTTTCATTTTGCAGTACTGTACTTCACATTGATTTTTATATTCTTTTATCTTTCTCTTAAACAGTATGCTTTCATCAAGTGATACAATAGCCAAGTAACAACTATTACTGAACAGTCTAAATAAAAGTCAAGTTCCCATAACCTGGTCTCCATATGACTACATGAACAGATTCTTGTAGTTTTCTTAATAATAAAGTGGACGTGGCCTTCTTAATCCTAAATCATAATAGTTACCTTTAGCATATAGCTGTCTTCTTTAACAGTCTTGTAGTGAAGTGAGATCCTCTGGTTTCCTTAGTAGTGTAATTTTCCAAGCATCAGTGGAACCAATTTTCCAAAACCAGTGAGGGCTTTGAGAGAACCTTGGAAAATCTCTTATCTTTTATAGCAGCTTCCTCTTGGATAAGCAAGCTAGCTTTGATTGATATTACCTGTCACCTGTCACTAGTCAAAAGATGACTAGTATTTCAACACTCATCCAGGATGTTTTAGGTAGTTCCAATCTGTCATCAGAAAAACCTGGATAAGAACCAATATGAGTCATATAGAATTATTCAACTGCCTAAATGAGCAAGCAAGATCTGTGCTACAACAGTTTCACGCTTTCCCAACAATCCTGTAATTTTCAAATGGTGTGAAACCAAGATTCGGTTGGTCTCTAACCCCCTTACTGGGTAACCTGACATGTTCCTTCCCTTCCCAGTGTTCAATGCCCAAAGTATATTGAACTTAGAACAGTTTTGAGTTAGCAAGTTGTATAAATCCAGTCTTTGCAATCCATATTTTTGGCTTACTACATAGTGCCAATCCTGCTGGTTCAGATTTATTCAATAAACCAGAGTTTACCTTTTTGATAAAGGGACTAGCTTAGCATTAGAAGCTGGTATCAAGATTCAGGGGTGTGTGATAAGCTGGAACACTGAGTAAAACCCAGCAAGATGAATTTCAACAGGGGCAAAAGTATTCTATTTGGAAAGGAAAAACAACAACAAAGAGATAAGATGTGGGATGATCACACTGGGCAGCAAGATGCACAGAAAGGATCTGGGTTTTTTGGTGGATCGAAAGCGGAACATGAGCCAACAGTCTGTTGCGGCTGTGGAAAGAAAATGCAACCCTCGGCTGCATTAATAGTAGTGTCAGAGAAGTCATTGTTCCTCTCTTTTGCAGTGATGAGACCACAACTAGAATATTATATTCCATCCTGGGCATTGTATTTTAGAGACGCCATTGACAAACTGGAGCATGTCAAGAGGGGATCAAGTGAGATGACTAGGGGCCTGGAAGAAAAGACATATGGAGAACAGTTGGAGGCTTGGAGAAGAAAAGGCTGTGGGGAAGAAATTATAGCTGTCTTCAAGTAACTGAAGGGCTGTCATGTAGAAAGATGGAGCAGAATTGTTCAGAGTTGTTCCAGAAGATTAGACAAGAAACAAAGAGTTTAACTGACAAGGAAGTAGATTCCAGTTGGACATGCAGAAAAAAAAATTCTAATGGAAAGAATGATTTGGCAATGAAATAGATTACCTTGGGAAGAAAAGGACTTCTGGTGAGGACACAGAGAACTAGACGTACCTGAAGGAGCGGGGATGTGTGGCCAGAAAAATCTCTCCGAAGAAAGGAGAGATCGTGAGATTGCCCACATGTACCCCGGACAGCTGCTCCTCATGAGTAGACTGCAGAAACTGAGTTTTTTGTGGTTGGCTTATGAGTTGAGCAGCTGGGAGTCAAGGGATTCCATCTAAGCTCACAGTTGTAATGTAGCCGATATGGACACAAAATTCAGCCAAGCCTCATTTCTTAATCACTTTTGGATTTAATTAATTTACAGCTAAAGAGAGAGTTTCTGAGCGGCAGGATAAGATTCCACTTGGTGAGTTATCATTTTTTCTGGATTACAAAGGAATAAAAAAAAAAGTTTAAAGACTTAAGAACTTCTGGCAAAAAGCTTAACAAGGAGTCCATGCAAAAAAGTTTAAAACGGATAAAGGGGACAGTTATTTTGAAAGATTACTTTTTAGTGAACGTGGTTTTGAATAAATTGGAATTAAAGTAGGCAAACAAACTAGAGCTTTGTGGGAATGTTTTTTGTTTATTCTTAAAGAGTGCAGACAATTGGTGGATTTTACAAAACAAAAGGTGATGTGATGGAGGTTCAAGGACAGAAGCGTTTCCTCACCCAGCGTTTCGCCTGAGCCTGGGAAAGCGAAGAGGATGAGACTGGCACCACCCTAAGGAATTCGTAGTGTTTAGTTGCAGGCTTTGGGAGTTAGAGTTAGTCTGGCGAGATTCTATCTAGCAGGTACGAACTAATAAAGTACCTGAGCTGTTCTAGTACTGACTCATGGAGTTTCTTGGGCTGAACATGACAGGTAAGGGTAATATGAGCCAGACTGTGATGCTAACTGTAACTGCGGAGATGTGGATTGTGAAGCTGACCGGATGGAAAGATTCAGTACTACCCACCACGGAGGAACGGTTGGTGAAGATGATGGAACTCGCTGCAATGGCCAAACTGACTTGTTTGATCAAAGAAAAGACAGTATCTGTGTTGACTGCTGACTGGAAACCCCTTAGAGACTTTTTGCATGAAACAAAAAAAGGCGATCTTATGTTTTAAGGTTTTGATAATTAGACAGATTATAGAAAGAAGAGAGTTGTGTTATAAACATAGTAAATTTATAATCCTACTTATAACTGCTGTAAAGATGATCAGAAGCTGCTTCTTTGTCTCTTTTTTCCCTCTCTTTTCTCTTTTCTTTTTCTTTCTTGCACTTTTAGCTCTCTGATTTCTTGTTTCTTCTTTTCTTCTTTTCTCACTCTATATTAGTTTCTATTAGTTGTTTTCTTAAAATCTTTAATAAAATTATATGAAAAGAAAAGACTCTTAGGCCTCATTCAAAGAAGCAAGACAGGAACCACACAGATCAGCACACAAGAAAATGCAAGAGTAGTAATATTAATGGAAGTTAGGAAGCCATAACCACACATTTTTTATCGATGATTGAAAAACCATCACTTATACAAACATGGTTCAAATCCCCTTGTATTTCATTTTCCTTCTGACCTTACAACAGACAATTATTTTGGGGCAGGAGGACCTGTCCCTTTCCTGCCCTTGAATGAATGAATGAATGATTTTTAAAACTAACCCATAACCAAAGCTCTCTTGGTAGTTTACAATACAACACAATAAAAGAGATCAGTATGAATAAAAATATACAGTAAAATCAAATAAAAGGCAAAATAAAAACACCATATAAGCTGCAAGGCAGTCATTCACAAATGAACACAGTATGGATTAAAATGCAATTAAAAAGGGCTGGGAAGATAAAAAGGTCTCCAGTTGGCACCAAAATGAGGCTAATGTGAGCAGAAGTCAAACCTTTCTGGGGAGGGCATACCATAAATGGGGTGCCACCACTGAAAAATTTCTTCCTGCTGTTAAGCCCCACCTCATCTCCTTTGATGGGGGGACCTGGAGGAGAGCTGCATTGGATGACCTTAAGCTCTAGGTGGAATGGCTTCATTCACTGCATTATGGTTTACTGAGCAAGCCACAATTGGTTGAGTTCATACAAAGCCAGAAGCAAGCATTTCATGGTTACATACGTCCCTGAACTTAGTTGGTAGATCGGAGTATTGGAGTTCTCCAAAACTGTGTCTACAAGTTGTGGCTTCCATCCATTCACCATCTCTGATATTCCCCTCTCCACAATCAGATGTCACAAGCCAGCCAAGGTTAATCACAAGGAGTTTGGATTCAGGCAACAGGACAAAAAGTGTCTTTCAACTTATGAAATCAACTGATTGACTGCCAAATGAAATTGGGTAGAGGGTTTAGGAAATTTAAATGATGAAATTCCTTTGCCTTCAACTGGTTACACAAACCCACATAATGAAAGGCGAGTTCCAAGATATACAGTAGCAGCGAGATGTGTATCAGAGAAACATCAGTGACTCAACCCAGACAAAAGCAACACCAGCCATGTTGGAGCTTGAACTGCAACAGATTTAATTGACCATCAGTTCCAATAAAAGACTAAGTATTTCATAACATATTTAACTGGGGCACTAACTAGAAAAATCACAACAGATGATCCTATACAACAAACGTAGGATCATTTGAAGGCAGCTTCTGTACTGCAGATCAGAACTGCTCTAGCAGTGTGGTACCATTCCATGGGTGTTGTATAGCCTACTGCTTACAATTTAAGGTACTGGCTCTGTCGGGGTACCCTCTCCCTATCACACCATCTCCTCCCCAGAGAATCTATTCCTCCCTATTAAATCAACCCAGAAAGAGATGCTTCAGGTTCCTTCCCTTGAGGGATTAAACAGAGGTGGGCTGGAAACAAGTCTTTTCAGTGATGACCCTGTTCCCCATCACTCCTGTCATTTCATCAAGCCACGAAGATCTGGTACCTAGAAGATTGCGTGGTGGAGCCTGTTTTTAACCTTTAAATGTAATGGTTTTTTTTCCCATTTATCCTTTTTATCTTGATTTTGGGGGACAATTAATAAACCTTAGTTCAGTGTGAAGACATATGCCATCACTCCAGCCTAGCAAGGCAGACAGAAAACACGACCAGATGAACTAATTCTACTTTATTGTAAAGTTCCATTAACAGAGTCTTGCAAGTCTGAAAGTACATCTCTTCCCCCCTCACCTTTACAGTCCAAGAAACTAGGGACGGTCCCTACTGAGACGTTTGCCATGCCCCCACTCCTTCTGCAGGCTCATCTACCTCTTATGTGACCATTCCCATGGCTGCTGCTCTTCCTCTGTCTCCCACGGTCATTCCCACAAACCATGACAACTCCAATGCTTTCAGATCTTCAACAGTGTTTCCAAAGGTAGCCTCATCCATTCAGTGCAATGGTATGCAACCTTGAATGTGACTTTGAGTCATATTTTGAGAGTGACATATATCCATCCATTGTCTTTCATCCCACTGACGGAATGAATATGAATTGTTGTAAAGCAATCTGTACAAGTACCCATGATGTGAATAACGTGGGTTATGTGTTGACGTATGTCATGGTTGATGGATGCACATACAGCCGTATATGATCAATGTGGCATAAGTACCAATTAATTTGAAGATGTTCATGTTATAGGAAATGCCATGGCTAATCAATTCATAAGATGGTTTTGAGACCAGTGTGAATGGATGAAAACTGGTACCTCTTTTGATGTTCCTTGAAAGAGCAGCATCAAACTATTATCTGATATACAGAAATCTAGCAGACATGGGCATTGGGGGGGGGGGTGTCAGAAGAAGTCAGGATGATAGTTGTGACTGTGAGATAGAAGTCCTGCCCCTTACGTATAACACTGTGGTTTTAGTCTGGGAAGATTGATGTCAGGCCTAGCCCAAGGAACTCCAAGAGACCATGCTAATCCAGATCAGCTATGATTATTAACGGGATGCGGTCGTGCAGCGGCTTAATGACGCTGAAAGTTGCCAGCCAGAAATGGTCGACGCTTCAGCGGTTCGAGTCCAGCCCTCGCGTTAGCTCCTGTTTCCTCCCCAGTTCCTGTAAACCCAACAGTTCGAAAACTCACGTGAGTAGATAAATGGGTACTCTCCCTCGGGTGGGAGGAAAAATGCTGGCGGCGCCTTGCAAAAAAAGGAGTCGGGAGCAGTTGCCGGTAAGTGCGAAAAACCAAAAAGGGCACGAAGCAACGGAAACCCCGCCTCCTGCGCTCACCAGCTGGGGCCTGCTCTAGGAAGGAGGCACTGGCAAACCACTTCCAAAACAATTGCCTTGAAAACTGCAAAAAGGACTCGTCCAAGCAGTCACTGCAGAGTCGGTAACGACTGAGCGCAGATTTTTTTTAAAAAAATGTTTATTAGCTACAACCTCTAGCAAGAATCTTCCCAAACTCAAATCGCAGTTCCCAAAGTCATCCAGTTACAACAGTGTGAATTCCTCAGGGAGGTGCCAGTCTCATTCTCTTGTTCCCCCCACGCTGTTCTGGCAAGCTAAGAAAATGTTTCTCTCTCTGAGCCTGGCCTTCATAATTCCATTCCATCACACCTGGATGCCTCTGCTAGCACGGGTGACAATTTTAAGCACGGCAATCCTTTCTTTAACAGGATTGTTGATTGTTGGCTGACTAACTTTCTATAACTCTACAGAACAGCACTGCCTGCGGACAATGATGGGGAACTCAAACAGTGGGTAGAATTCAGTGTTGCTTTTCCAAGCACTGGAAAGGAAGACGTGAAAAAGATGGCGAGGCTTAATTGAGGTTCAAAGATACTCAAATGGCTATGTTGTTATTCAATATTTCCCCTGGGTGTAATGGGCTGTGAGAATAACGTTGAGAGACAGGAGAAAGAGCTGCAGGTTAGACAACGGTCTGATAAACGAAATCTTGAGTTCAAACCAGAAATGTAATTTGAGAAAGTGTTTTAGAACTGATCCTCTTTAGTTCTCTGGAACCTAAAGGGAGAGAGGGGAGAAGCGCTTTCAGATTTGCAAGATTCTGTTACTGTAACCTTACAATAGAAGTGGTATTAATATTCATGATTTCGGTTTCCTGGTCTCAACTACCTTGAAGGGCTGACACTGGGGCACCAACTTCTTAAAGCTAGGTAAGTCTATAGACCAATTAGTGGTGGTGGGGAGCTAGGACAGGCATGAACTGAAGAAGCAGCCATGAAGAACAACTCTCAAAAAGTATTAAGCAAAACTTATTTGTCAGGAGACTTCTTCCGCAAAGTGGATCGACACGAAAAGGGCCATGATGTTTGACATGTTCTCTCAATCCTTCCAGAAGAAACATGTTGTGGTGACGGTGGTTGATTTATTCTTCTCCTTTAATCAAAGGGGAAGCAACAACAATTTTGGACAGAAACAAGGCATCTGAAAATCTGAAAGGATAATGGCTGTCAGCCAAACAGAATAGGCATGTACCTATTTGAGGTAAGGACAGCATCTCTTTGAAGCAAATAAATAAATACACCACACACATCCTAATTCCAAAGGTCTCACATTTCACGCAATGAGCAGCTGAAAAGTTTGGCAATCAGAAAACATGGTGTTTTATTCAGTATTTAGATTTTTGGGTTTCACAGATAATACTATTGGGAAGATTTGCCGTTTCCTATGCAGAAAAGTTAGCATAGGTTTCACATCAAATTTTAATACAGACATCACTTTGTAAGATATCCATGTGAGCTTCTTTTCACATGTCAGTTGACTTTCTAATCTGGTTTCCTAACATTAAAACATATTGCGCCAGTGATTTCATGCCATTTTTATATCCTCGGAATATAATGTTCAAAACTTTCAGAAGATTTTGACCAGATCTTTGTCTTATTACTCTGGGGAGAGAAATAAAATAAAGGAAGGTGGAACAGGGATTTGCCAAATGAAATAGTCAACTGCCATAATACTGAATGGTCAAACCATTTGTCATGTGGTAGGCAACTGAAAAGGAAAATAGTTAGTTTCCAAGGTTAACCTTCAAAATACCTGGAGTAAATACAGTTCTAGGATGGCCCATAGGCAGAATTTCAGAAAATTCAGCTTTTTTTTAGGGAGCAACATATCTCTCTATTTTCAAGTTCTGTCTATCTGCTGCACCACCCAACAGCCTAGACCAGCCATTGTTAACATATGACCTTCCAGCACATGTTCTATAATTCTCATCATCCTTGTTCATTGGACATCTGACTCAGGATGATGAGATCAATAACTTTGGAAGGTGCCATGTTCAGGAACACTGACCGACAGTAAACCAGGATATCACTTTGGAAGAGACCTTGTTTTACCTTTTGCCCTGCTTTATGAGTTTGAGAGAAGCCAGTGGCCCCAAGATCCAGAAGATGATGGAAGTTGTGGGAAATGAGTTTTTTCAAAAACAGCTTCTGGGAACAGCCTCTTACATCTTCAAAATGTACACAATCCATTAATTAACTGCAGTGCAATCCAATAAACTGCAGTGATGTGAACAGGCATATTCTTATCACATTTGGCAAAGCTGAAAAGATTGTGTCTAAGTAGATCCCAGATTAATCGCAGTCATGTATGCTTTATCATGGGGGGAGGGGGAAGAGAGGCTGTATGAGGAATATATAGGGTTTTTTATTCCTGCTGTCCTAAATTGGGGGTGATGTAATTATTTTGTGGATAATATAAAGACCAAGAAAAGTCTGAAAGATTTTAAAACCTACTTTGTCTTCATCCTAGAATTCCTATGTGAATGAAGAAAGATCTACCAACTAGGATGTTATAGCAACAGTTTTTGAAAAAAACTCCTTTGCCAGTTCTTTTAAAAGAATGATAGAGAGTATCATTTTAATAAAAAGACAATTATTGATGCAATTCATCCATAGGATAACTCCACTTGATTCTGGGTGGATCAGAATATCAACTCTGAGTACTGCATTCATTTCTGAGTATCATAGTTTAAAAAAGATTTAGATAAGATCCTGTGCCAAGCAAAGGGACTAGATAACCTCTGATAAGACCTCAACTAGGATTTTAGCATTCTACGACAAAGTCTAAGTAGCTGGGGAAATGACTGGGTTCTGAAAATTTCTACAAGAGAGATTGAGAGTATTTAATGCTAAGAAAAGGAGGGGGAATCTGATTACATTCTTCAAAATATTTGATGGAACTCTGGGAGTTGAAGTCCACCCATCTTAAATTTGCTGAGACTGAGAAACATGTGTCTATGGTATTTAAGTTTTTATATCCAGCCTTTCCATAGCTAATGTCTGAAGTGGTTTATGCAAAAATCCAAAATCAATTCTCCAAACTAAATTTATTCAAAGTCTGATGTAGTATCAACATGTTCTTTCAAACAATTCAATGGTATAGATTTTCAAAAATCTCCAGTGGGAAGCAAATAAGAAGAGGAAGCAGGAAGGAAAATAAAACAATCACAAAATTGTGGACATGCACACAATGCCCTTGGGGTATTTCCACTAGGGGTGCATAATTTTTTTTTTAATTTAAAGAATTCCAAAGGGTGCACACCCCATCTCGAGTTTGAAACAACTCTCTCCAGTTCAAAACAGCTGTTTGGAGTGGAAAATCACTGCCCCACATTTGAGATGGGCTGTTTGGTCAACCTGGAAGCGTTGCATACTCAAAGTACAGCTTTTTCAAGCTTTAACCCCTTTTGGTGTTTCTAAAACTTTTTACAGATTCACATATTTAGAATAAATATCTTTCCAAATTTTAATTTCCTTGCTACTTGCATCTGAAAAATGCATAGCTATTTAGCTTTAAAGATTAACAAGCAAACATGTACACATTCTACCTGGAAGTAGTTGTATTAAGAGAGAGGGTTCTTCTGATCTATATTCTTTTTTTCTAAAAGTGATCTAGTAAAAGAAAAGAAAGGAGACAAAGAAAATTATTACCTTTGATTTCTTTTCATCTCCTGGTTTCAAAAATAGGCTCACTACTCATTCTTTTGGATTGTGGCACCCAGAAATCATGAATAGCCTTCTTAAATATATGTCTGTCTCCTCTCTGTTTCTAGGCTGAGTCCTATTATCTACACTGCCTGCTGTGTTCCATTTTATTTTCTTTGCCTTGAAAGCCAGTATGGCACAGGATATGCAATAATGGAGAATTCCCCTCATGTCTTCCCTGTTGTCTGAAGGGATATTCTCAGTGGAGATCGCTGGTCTTAGGTCTAAAATGTCCCACTAAATGTACCTTTCATAGGTATGTGTTTCTCTCTATATATTGGGAATCATTTGCATGACTTCTTCCCCTCTGTCGAAATGAGGCCCATGTTTAGTGATCTTGGACCAGTCACATTCTCTAGCATCACCCAGCTTTCCATCAAGCCTGGTACTCTACAAATGCACTGGGACAATCCACAAGGTTGGGTGGATCGTCTGGTGGATATCAGGTTAGGGAAAGCTGGCCTGACCCGTCTCAGAGGATGCAAAAGTGGGGCATGTTCCATCCTGAGCTTCTTTGGGGAAAAATAGGGCATAAAAAGTCACCCAGAGTCATTTTGTGTGAGATGGGTGGCTACATACTGTAAATGCAATAAATAAATAAATAAATAAATAAATAAATAAATAAATAAATAAATAAATAAATGTTATCAAGTAAATAAGTGAATGCAATTAAAAATTAAAAGGTTAAAAAAATGAAAGAGCTAGTTTGGTGTTGTGGTTAAGGCATCAGGCTAGAAACTGGGAGATCATGAGTTCTAGTCCCGGCTTAGGCATGAAGCCAGCTGGGATGACCTTGGGCCAGTCCCTCTCTCTCAGCCCTGGGAAGAAGAAGGCAAGGGCCAACCACTTCTCAAATCTTGCCAAGGGACCTCTTATTATTATCAAGGGCCAGTTTTGGGCAGAGGTTAAGGTGCCAGGTTAGAAACCAGGAGACTGTGAGTTCTAGTCCTGCTTTAGGCATGCAAGCCAGCTGGGTGACTTAGAGCCAGTCTCTCCCTCTCAGCCCCAGGAAGAAGGCAAGGGCACTTCTGAAAACGTTGCCAAGAAAACTGCAAGGTCCATGTGGCTGCCAGAAGTCAAGACTGACTCAAAGGCACAAATACAATATACTAATTATTCTCAGGTTCAAAACTTCAGGGAAGCCCAATATGGGAAGCAAAGCAGAAATGCCTGAAAATGCCTACTTGTTTTTTTCAAAATTTTCACTTTTTTCAAAATATAAATAAAGGAAAATAAATACCAGTCCCAAAGAGCAAGGAATTGCCAACCCTTGAAACCAAGAAACAAGGATTAGGGAAACTGACAACTCCAGAAGCCAAGTATTGGGCATTCACCTAAACACTTTTGCCTGCGTTAAATAGTTCCTAGCCTTGCTTATTTCTTCAACAAGTTTCTTCAAATCGTCTCCTTCAAACAAGGGGAATATGGGATCCTGAAACAAACAACAAGAATGCAGGTTTGGTTTTGTTTAAGTGAAAAGCATTTAATCATTAAAGAAAATAAATGTCAAAGATCAAACAACATCACTCTTTCTTGGAAATATCTTAACATGTTCTTCCTCTAATACAGTGTTTCCCAACCTCAACAGCTTGAAGATGTGTGGACTTCAATTCCCAGTATTCCCCAGCCAGCCTTGCTGGCTGGGGAATTCTGGGAGTTGAAGTCCACACAACTTCAAGTTGCTGAGGTTGGGAAACACTGCTCTAATACGAGCATCATCTGCCACCAATGTTCCTCTTGCTTCTACTTAGGACAAAGGGACAAACTTTGCACAAAACAATTTATGGACACAACTTTTACATCGGGATTCAGAACAAGGACAAAGAATATCAAAGCATTTTAACCTCCCAGTACACACTACTGCAGAACTCAAAGTGACCATTCTGGAAAAACGAGATTTTAACAACACCCTTGAGCGAGAGATTGCTGAACTCGCACACATCAAAATGTTCTCAGAAGATCTCAACAGACTCAATGGGTTTTTAACACTTTATAATTGTTAATTGATAAGGTACTTCCAACCTCTCTTTCATGTAACCCACATCTACAGAACCATCCTTTTTTGAGACCTACATCCGTTTAGTCACTCCATGCAACAGATGAAGTGAGTTGTAGGTCATGAAAGCTGATGCATTTTAATAAAATTTGCTAGTCAAAAAAGGGGGTTACCAGACTCCTGAATTTTTGGCTACCATAGACTAACATGGCTAGCCAGCAGTATAAGACCTGTGTAAATCCTTGGCTTGTTTGACATGTCCTCTGATGAAGAGGATGGGAGGAAGTGGAGTCAGGGGCATCTAGAGACAATAGTCTTGGTGATTCCAGCAGCAGTGGAGCTAATGAGTCCACTCTGATTGAGGGAATTCCACCAAGCTCCCAGGATACCTTACCTGCATCCATTGACAGCCTTTCAGACTCTGAACTTCAGTCTCTTGGTCCTAAGCAATGCCATGTGATAAAAGATCCAACCACGGAGTGCAGAACTCCGTAGATCGGAGAGACTTGCCAAGACAAAAGAGCAAATGCTGAGGAGGAAACTGTCCCAGCTGAGTAATGGGTGGAAGCAAATGCTGAACCCAACTTGGCAAGCCTAGATTCTGTTGGGTTGACTTTGCTATGCCATTCTAGGACTCTGGATTCCACCTCACCGTGTCTCCTGTCTTTTCCCTTGGATTCGTTGCTTTTCATTGGATTCCTGGTCTTGACCTGTGCCAAGCCTGTGACTACATTGATGGGTTGCCATCTTAAGATACTACTAAAAATGATTCTTTTTCTCAAAAAGTTCTGCCTGTGCTTTGCCTATCACTGGACAGTGGCAGACATCCAGCTTGCTGTCTTGTTGGTTAGCAGCCAGCACTGTTGGGACAAAAAAGTTTCTAAAGTAGCTTTGCTTAGCCCAGGGCTCTCTTCACGAACGTTACCCAGTTGGAGATGGTTGTCCATTTTTTGTTGGAGAAGGAGCTCTTGTGTTATGTGTTCCACCATATCTTTAAATAACTCCTTAATCTACTTGAACTCTAGATGTTGGATGGGTTGGAATAAAATTATTAAGAATAATTCAAAATGGTAAAGATAATGCTAATGAAGAAGATATAAAGAAATGTGAATAAGATGAGAAGAGTGGCAGAGAGAAAATTGGTAGATGGATAAAGATGGTTGGAACTACAGGGGCCAACAGGCCTGTTAGGGCTCAACACTGTCCAAGGTCCTGACCTTTCAACATCTGATGTAATTGACCTAACCATAGTCTAATCTTGTGGACATTGCACCGTGGATTACAATGATCTCATTGTAAAATTATGGGGAATGAAGATTAACCAAGTGAATCTGAGTTGAGTCAATTAAACATACCTCCTCATCTTTAAAGCCTTCTGAAAGCAATCGGTGTGCCACCAATTGTCCATCCACATCTCCATGGCACCGATGGTAGCGTCCACCTGTCTGGAAGGCCAGTTTCTTGAGAAAGTCATTTGCTACTCTGTTGAAGACAAAAAGGGAAATGTCCTCCCTGGAGCTGGGAGTCATTTGAGCTCAATTCTCACAGAAAGTTCTAAGGATCTGGAAGACATGGGGAAGTTGGCCACTTGCTAAACTGGCAGTTTTACAGAAGCTTTTCTCATGTTTGGCCAACATTAAATTTTAAAAATCAATTTGGGCTGCAGAGCAACAGATACCTGTCCGAGCAATTGAAAGAAATTGTATGGATGGTAATAGCCCGTTTCTTCCTAAGCATTTCCATTTCTTTGAGAATTAAGCTGCAGCTGGTGTCAGGTTTTCCATCCGTCAGCATATACAGGGCTTCTACTTCGTGAAGACTGAATGCTCTCTGAAAATGGCAACAAAAACTAAATATGAGCTTAGGTGCTAGAACACTGTGATAAAAAGTTTAGTTCACCTGTCAGGTAACGGAGGGAAAAGACCTTGTTGAATGATATAATTTTTTCCCTGCATTTTTAGAACTAGTTTGCAGAACACGAAACTTAGTGCTTATACTATACTACAGATAGCCTCATGTCATTCTTCCAAGTACATTCATGCTACAAATCAGGTACAAAATGGGCATGTTTCCCCCTACAATGGTCTCAAGAAAGCTTCCACTAGAATAGTCCAGCAAAATAGCATTGGAATCCAGAAAATCCATAGCAGGCGATAACTTTTTGAAGGGAAAATCCATTCTCTCTGCCAGTGGCTCCAGGATTCACAGAAACCGTATTTCATTGTTGTCTTTGTACCCAAGAAGATTCTGTTCAACTGAACAAACCTGTAAAGCCTTCAGAATGGACGTATTCCCATGAGCCTGAAACAATGACGCCCACTGGGCAGCCTCGTGGCACATTTCATCGGTGGCCTCCACGAGGCACTCCTGCCAAACTTGGACATCTTCTGCAAAAGCAATCAGGTTGAACCTGAGAGAAAGTAAGATATCCATCAACAAGCCAAATCAACATGGGCAACCACATCAGCAAAAATGTGGTAAGGACCACTTTTTGATAGATATCCATGGTGCAAAATTAAGTGGCCATTAGATTATATAATTATAATTCAATCTTCTTCCCCATGTTATTTGTTGATATTTCTAAGAGGGTAGAGAAGATCAGGTGGAGTTTCTTTCATTATCTCTGCAATATTCCACTACTTCTGAGCCAGAACCAACTGGTAACATGTTGGGGGCCACTTTCCAAAATGGACTGAGGCCATAACAAAACTGCCTTTGCTTTTATTAAAGTTGCATAGAGAGTAGTGTTACTCTCTAGTGATGTATATCACATTTCCCTCCTTTCCATCATACTAACATTTTGGTAACAATTTTTAGAAATCTTTGGAGGCCACACAAAGTTCCCCAGGTCACACACTCTGCATTATCAGCTACCTTGATTTGCTGTGATCAGTACTTCTGTGTGTATGATTTTATAAAGTGAATCAACCCAAACACATTCAGTAAGTCAATTATTTCTTGCAAGTAAGAGCAAGCTGGATTTTGTCTGGGGATTCTCACCGAATGATCTTTAGTAGACCATCTGTCTTCATTGAGCAGGCTTCCCTCCAAAAATCCCCCAGTGCCATAGATATACGGGGATATCCCACAACCAGTTAGAGTTCTTACATCTAAAGACAAAATACAGATCCCTTGTGAGAAATCTGGGTGTGGGGTCAGAGGAAGCCTGCTTATGAGGACAACTTACCAGTCCAAGACTGGCTATCACTGGAATGAGGTAAACTACTATTCCTGCATCTTCCTTACTTGGTGGCATTCTTCCTCAGCTGTTCCCAGATAAGGGAGGTGAGTTCTTTGGCCACCAGACTCAAGGAGTGGTCCATGGAACCAGATGTATCAATAAGAATGCAAACTTTGGCTTCCAAAACGACACCAAAGAATCGGCGGCTGCCTGTGAGAGATAATTTATCACTGTTCAATGTCAAGCCACCCTTTGGTCTTACTTAGCATTGGATTCAGTGTATCTAAAGGAATCAGAATCAGGATAAAAGACAGATGCTGTAATTTCCAAGGTGGCCAGGAATCCCATCAAACCATCCTTTTCCAGGCTGGTACCCTTTGGTTCTGTGATGTCAACATCTAGACTTTTTCAACCAGCATGGACATGGTTGAGGATTCTAGGAAACTAAATCCAGACCCCTAAAGCATATTCAGCTTGGCTGGGCTCTACAATTGGATCAGAAATATTTGATTAAAAAAGATGGTGAGGCATGTCTTGAAAATCACTGTTGGTTCCATGATGCTTAGCTTTCAGCACTTGGGACCCTATGTAAGGCAGGCTGATTGAAGTCCAGAGAATTGCCCTCTAAGCTACAATCCTGGCCTAAATATTACAGATGAACAGAGATACACTGGGCCCTATGAAATTTGGCAACCTAATCATTTCTACAATTGTTGAAATGAAGAAACCAAATTTTCTCATCAATGGAGCACTTCCTTGACAGTGTCTGGAGCAAGCTTGGATTATGTCATGACACAAATCCCACCCTTACATTCTTGCATCATAACATGAAGTTCATCACTATCCCCCTTCCCCTGCAGATGCTACAGGCCTGTTCTTATTCAAAATAATTGTTTTGCCACAAACAAATTTGGGGCAGTTCACTTTCTCAAAGACTTAAGTTATCATATTTTAAGAAATGCAAACTAGGTCCTACTACCACGTGGTCCAGTTCTGAAAGTAAAGAGCATAAATAACTCCTGCCATGATGGTTAATAGTGGGGCAACTCCTCAATATTCAGCACAGGACAGACCTGAGAGAAGCCACTGTACTCTTCGGATATAGCATCGCAGCACTTTCTCCATTTGCTCAATGTAATCTTCCAAATCCTTAAGTTGAATCTGCAGATGCTTGACCATCCCCTGGGAGACAGATTGCAAGATGTCACTCTAGATGTGATTGGAGGGTCATGTCCAATGTAGATTAGACTAAGAAACCAGTGCATATAGGTCTGAAACCACTTTTATTGGAACAACTATAGGAGCAGAATCTTGCAAGTCTGAATGAGCTTCCCCCACCTCAGTTTATCTTTGTGTGAACCAGGGACAGGCTTGCCTGAGACGTTTTCTCAAATTATTTTCTTGGGTTGGGCTCAAGCCAAGCTTATCTGATGATTGGTTTGGTGGTGCCTCTTCCTCCTGTCCTTCAAGGCCGTTCCTTAAGCCCTCTACAGGTAAGATCACCTGGGATTATAGTTAGGCTGGGTAGAATTACTGAGATTCATTCAGAAGTTAAGAGGGGTGACTGTCATTCCATATAAAATTTTAATTGTCATTGAAGGGGGCTTGCTATGGTTCTGTTAGTTGTGTTTCACATATTGTGGTTGGGAAGAACAGAAGAGATGTTAGTTTGTTCAAGCTTTGTGCATCCGTAGGTTTTGGCATGCAGTTTTGTTTGGAAGAGGACTTGGGGGGGGTTTGCATATTTTATGGGTGCAGAAAAATGGTGGGTGGGGTTTCACACGTGCTTTAAGGTGATGTTTTTTGAAGATCTCAGTTTTGTTATCTGTGGTTGTTACACTGGATTGAATAGCCACAAATGATGAGGTCTGCTTGTATTGGTTTTATGCAAGAATTATCCTCCTTTATGTATATAAGTCAGTTTGGGAGGACTATGACCCTTAAAAGCAGCCTATAAATACCAGCAACAATAACAGCAAATAAATAAATAAGACTAAAAGTCTGAGGCTCTGTATAGTTGGAGAAAAATTACTAAGATTACTATATACCAGTGTTTGTCAACCTCAGCAATTTTAAGATGTGTGGACTTCTACGCCCAGCATGCTGGCTGGGGGAATTCTGGGAGCTGAAGTCCATACATCTTAAATTTGCTGTGGTTGACAAACACTGCTATGGACAATCATATTACTGAAGAAACATCTTGTGTTTCCTCTAAAAAATCCAAAGGATGGGACTTACTTCTACTTCTACACTAGGGAAAATGTCACAGTATTTTGCTGAAACTTTCTTGCGCAGCGATTCCACCATCTGCTTCTGATGCACGCTCCCGGGTCCAAAAACAAGACTGGGCAAATCTAACTTCAGCTTTTTTATGCTGTATTTGCTGAGCCACTGTTGAAGAGGGGAAAAATAGAGGATTGTTGCGTGAACGACTGATGGACTGCAACTGAAAAAGCATTCAATGATCTAACAATTCTTCGATTAAGGCCGTGTGATAAGGAAAGTACATACTGCCTTGGTGGAGGATATTTCTTCTTCATTTGGCAAAACCACTGAAGGAATCAACCTTTTCCCACTCTTGGGATTCAAAGAGTTTTTGTAAACTGTGCCTGGAGAGTAAAAAAGAAGTGATATTCAACATTCTGTTTTTTGGGGGGGGGGCGGGGGTTGCAGTTAACAGTTTTGACCACCTTTTTTTTCCAGACTAATGAGAAGCCAAAATAAAAGGAGCAGAGGACTATTGTTTAGAGGGGGGAAAAGCTGAGACATGAAAATAAAAAAAACAATACATAGCTTAGAATGCTAAACGTTTTAAATCTTCTCTGTTGGAAGGAAAATCAATTTCCCTTTACTTTAGGACACCCACCTATGTTTTTTCTTTGGCTGGGATAAAATGAAGAAATCTCTGGCTGTTTCTTTGCCTTGAAGTTCAATTTCTTTCTTGCCAGGAAGATCTCTTTTATTGGCTGAACTGCACAATAAATCAAATCATCACCATCACCACCACCATCATCTAGGATCAAGATATTACCCCATCCATTCAAGCTGGGCAGGGCTTGAATTCTGCATAGGATCAATTCTTCCCTTTTCGTGTTTTGTTCTTCTCTGTACTTTTTTTTTGGTTTGTTTAGCCTGCAAACTGAACATTTGCAATCTGTTGAAATTTTAGGACTCTGATAATATCTTTTGGATCAGTCCCATTCTATGGAATGAAGGGTGAGATATCTGATCGGTCAGCAGCTCCCCACCCCTTGGGGTTGGAAAGGTGGGCTGAGACTACGTCAACTTTGCAGAAAAAGTGTTAAACACGTCGCTGTATTTTAAATACGGGCAAGCAGGCCAGATGGACAGATGAGAACCCAAGGTCACATTCACGCAGTCCTCTAAGCCAAATCGAAGCAAGCTACATTATGACTTAGAACCGTGGCCACTTTCACATATGTGGACTTCAGCTCCCAGAATTCTCATCAGGAGTCATGCTGGCTGGCTGGGGAATTCTGGGATTTGAAGCCACACACTTGGGAATGGCCAAGGCTGGGGAACACTGACTGAGATGTATGAACCCACACTTGGTTATCCCATTTGGTGGTCACTTCACTTATACACACCTGGTGGGATTTCAGCTTTGCCACTCGGAGGACGCCATGAAAGGGCTTTGGTGCTACCATTCCTCTCGCCCTCTTGGTGCTGTTCTTGTGCATTCTAAAGAGATGGTGAACATATGAGAAAACCTCTTGTTGTTTTGTCATGAGTTCCCAACATGCAGTGTAAAACAATCTTATTCCCACCATTGTTTTAGAATCTCCCAACGATGAAGAATAAACTTTATCTGGATGACCATACTGGAAGATAGTGACCTGGTTCACCTACTGTGCTCATATATCAAGCGTTTTAGCGTGTTGTCTGAACTGAGGAATTATTTCTCAACTGTGCTTCATGGCTTATAAGCCCAAACGCTATAGCCTAGTTAAACCACAGATAAAACAAACCTTGGTCTGGCACAATGCATAATCAAAGAAAACTGAGCTGTTAAGATGTGCAGGTCAATTGCATCATTAATAAAAAATAAATCTTGCATATTTAGCTTTCATGTTTCTCCTGCTCTTCCTGGGTGAAGAAATGCAGACACTTGACCCATCCAACCCATTTAATCCAGGTAAGAGCCCCATAAAATATGTTAAGCTAAAGATATTGATCACTCCAAAGCCCTTGGTTGGATTTTCTTGCATCACAAGAAGTCCCTGCTTGTTTCACCCACAATAGATCACATAAGTCGTCATGGCTTGGTTGAAACAGAAAACCATGGTTGACAAACCACCAGAGCTCATGCTGAGGCACAACCAAAAGCATCCACATGGCTGCCCAGGGTGTGTGAATCAGACCAGGAAGGCTTGCTTGATCAAGGTCAATGGGCTTTATGGTGCGTGACCACCTACACTATTCCATCCTCCCGACAGTTCCTGAGAAACCGTGACAGGGTGAAGATGATTTGGTGAGCAATCTTCAAATATCTAAAGGGTTGTCTCCTAGAAGAAGACTTTGTCTCTTTTACTGCAGAGGGCAGGACCAGAGCCATTAGGCTGAAATTATAGGGAAGATGATTCTGTTCAGGTAGGAGGAGGGATTTCGTGGCAGTAGCAGCCACCAATCAGTGAAACAGGCTGCCTCAAACAAAGGCTGGATGTTTTAGCAGAACCTGCACTGTGTAGGACTAGATGACCCCTGAAATCTTTTCCAGCTCTTGGTTCTAAGGCTGAACCCAAAATTCTTGGTTCTAGTCCAACCTTACAGTACCAACTTCCTGTTAGCCGACAACATGCAGCCTTTTAACATGAATCAGTATAGAAAAAAAGAAGAACTACAGAGATTTTTATAAAAGTTTTATAAAAGGCTTGGCAGAGTTAGAAGGAGGTAAGAAATTTTTTTTTCAGATGTTTTGTCCCCAGAAGGGCTGTGCTATTAGGTTAAAAAGATTCTACTTTCCTGTTTATCTCCTCTACCAGAGCAAACAACATTTTCAAAGATTGGAGTTCCTTGCTAGAAATTTCACTGATGAAGTCTGCTGCCTAGTTCCCATCCCATTCCTAAATATATTGGAAAAGAGATTTACATAGGGTGGTATTTTTTGAAAATCCCTGCAACTGAACACTGCTGATTCTGCAATCCATTGGGCCTGATTTCAGCAAGGACAGACATGCATTGCTGAAAACAAGACTTCTAAAGTGCATTCTCCAGCAATTCCACAAAAGGTGCTTTTTTGATTCAAAGACCAGAACTGACAAAGAGAAAATCTTGGACAAAGCAGGAAGCCATCAATATATTTTGCCACCAATGATGACAGGTTTCACCTTGAAATACCAGGGCCATCATACCTTCCTGGCAAGGGTGAGGGCTGTTGGCTTTGGAAATGGTAATTTTGATGGTCTGGTCTTCTTCTCTTCCTTCTTTAGTGATGAGAAGTCATCTTCTTTGAAAGGTGACTGGTTCCCCAAGATGTTTCCTGACCTCTGCCTTAAGGATTCCACTAACAAGGCACACTGAAAACAAATCAACAAAGCAACAATCGCAAAACACACGCAGGCTTCCTTTAGAGGCAAATCTCATGAAAGACGTAACAGTAACTCAATCAGTTCCCATCAGAAATGAATTCAAAAGGAATTTTTTGAATAGCAAACCATTTATTTCACTCTTATTTGAAGTAGCAAACCATTTATTTCACTCTTATTTGAAGCGAGATGCATAGAGTATGTATTTCTAACCACCTGGGGACAGACCACAAATGGATCACAAATGAATTCCTGTTCTCCACACAAAAAACACTCTTATAATATCTGTACGTTTCTCTCTAAGTATAGTTTGTTGCTGTTCTTGAAATCTATTTCCATGGATGGGAAAGAAAGGAGATTAAATAAGCCGAAATGGGTTCTGAAGTCTGTGTCTACTGTAAATTAGGAAACATGCTTCTTGCTCTAACTTCAGTACTTTATCACAAAGTATGGTCCCCAGGTCCCTGCTGCAAAAATCCAAGCCACAAGGAATGAGAGATTTCAGGGTGCCTTGTTGCCATCTTATGGTCATTCCTATTCATGTAGCTCAGATCTAATAAACCCATCATAGAAATTGACAAGGAAATGCCAGTTGACCCCAGTGGTTGTGCAAAATGCTACATCCATGTGGTCAAACCACTGCATCCTCTTCACTGTCAAGAGGTATAGTAACTATTTTAAGAAGTCAAGTTTTGAAAGATCTAAGATCCAACCTTGTGAGAATAGTTGACTGCTTTTTCCATTTCAGATAGGATAATGCTGATATCATCACTTTCGTTGATACCTATCCAGAAGGCAAGGAGGAATAAAGAAGACAAACATAAACTCCTAAGTTTCAAAACTTGATGCAACCCAACTTTTACAAAGATTGTTAGAATACACACACACACCACTTGGAACATTTTGGGAATGCTAGGATCTCTTTGATGGAGGTTAAGGGAGATCTGATTCATGCAATTCTAGGTATTCATCAATAAAGTTATTTTTACCAGTATGTCCCACCATTCCTACAAGGTTTCAAGATGGTTCATGTAGAGGTTCTTCCATTCATTTTATCCACATAACACTGGGAAGCAGGTTGGGTTGAAATATAGTGAATAACACAGTGAATTCCCTGGTCAACTGGAAATCTGAATTGGGTCTCCTCTTTGCCAGAGGAAAACAGGGTTAACCTACCACCAGTGGTCAGAGAAGTAGCATATTTGCAACATAGACATGTTTGTGTGAGTTTGCATATGTTTGTGCAAAATGTATATAGCTTCAGCTTCAGACATCTCCAAGGTAAGGTTGAAAAGGATTTATGAATTGTTGCAAAGTTGCTGCCAGTCAGCACTGAGCAAGTGTGAGGAACCTGCAACTCTCCAGATGTTGCCGGACTACTGTTCACGCAATCCCTGATCATTAACAGATTAGTTGAAGGACACAGGGAGTTCAAGAAAATCAAGTACTCCAAAACATCTAGAGGTCCAAAGAGTTCTCCTTCCTGTGGTACCCTAAGGGGAGGACAATGGGGCAGAAGCCAAAAACCCTATGAAGTAGAAGTAGAGGCCCAGAGGCCCACATTTTGAAGTCAATGAAATGTTACACATTCCAAATCTAACAGCCTCTTCTCCATATCCTCATTAAATTCAAAGTGGAGCTCATTGTGATGGAATGGAATTACGATGGCCAAGCTCAGGGAGATAAACAAAGACTGATGTCAGGCCTAGCCCAAGGAACTCCAAGAGACAATGCCAATTCAGTCCAGCTATGTTTATTAGCTACAACCTCTAGCAAGAATCTTCCCAGACTAAAACCGCAGTTCCCAAAGTCACCCAGCCACAACAGTGTGAATTCCTCAGGGAAGTGCCAGTCTCATCCTCTTGTCCCTCCCACGCTGTTCTGGTGAGCTAAGAAAATGTTTATCTCCCTGAGCTTGGCCATCGTAATTCCATTCCATCACAATGAGCTCCACTTTGAATTTAATGAGGATATGGAGAAGAGGCTGTTAGATTTGGAATGTGTAACA